TCGTGCAAGAGATAAAGGAATAAAATATGACATACATTGGAATCTAGATGACCAACTAATTGAGCCTCATGGTTCAATGTTGGTAAGTTAGGTTGGTTCCCTTGTAAGGAGGGAAATTCCAATCACTTGTGATAATTGGAGAGATCCATTGTTGAAACCCGCTAAAGACAAAATATGGAGCGAGATACAGGTACAATATGTGATGTTATTTGTTTTTGTTGACGATTATGTCTTTAAATTACTTATACTAACACACTCTATATATGTTTTTTCCTAGAGGTCTTTTAACATTCATGATGATCGAAAAACATATTGTCTTCAACTGGCCGAAGAAAAAAACAAAGAGGGTTTCAAGCTTTTTTAACAAAGAAGTATCTTAAAGATGTCGAAGGACATTTTATTGAAGCAGAACTTCCAAATACGTATGCAAACTTGATTTCACCTGAAGAATGAGAAACTTTTAAAGTAAAACAAAGAACCTCAAAATTCCAGGAAGTGAGCGACGCCAATCGCCAACGAGCATCAAGTCTCGCGTATCCATACAAAAAAGGGCATACGGGATATGCATTCTTACAGCAAAGAATAGTAAGTATATATAAATGTTATGATATAATTGTTCATCATTTATTATAAATTATCTTATTATTTATCTTAATGTGTAGTTAGAAGATGAGAAAAGTGAAGAAACATTTCTTCCGACACATGTTTTGTGGGAGGCTGCTCGTGTGGGTAAGGATGGAGTTGCTAAGGAAGATGTTCAACAAGTTTTTGATCAATGTATAAGTATAACATTATTTCTTTAATTAAATCAAACGTTTATTAACATATAATATTTATATTTTTTTAATCACTACTAATCTTTTTCGACATGCATATGAATTTCAAGAGAATATATCTAAATTTTTAACTCTAGCTGAAGACCATGATTGCAGGAGCTTACTAAGTCGAGTATTAAACGTTCCTGAGTATTCTGGTCGTGTAAGATGTAAGAGATTTGGGATCACTCAAACATCATTGAGTAAGCAACCAAATAATAAAATTCTTAGCAATAAACAAGTGATGGAAGAGTTGGAAAAATCAAAAGCTCAAGTTTGTGACTTGGAAAAGGATAAAGAAAGATACATGTCAGAAGGGCGAGGTTCAAGGTTTAAAGATAATATCATTTGTAGTTTTCAACTGAAAATTTCCGAAGTAATTATATATATTATTATGAAATTAAATCATCACAACTTTTTTAATTAACATATATACACATTGACAATTATATATTTATTATTTGTTTAGGGAATTTCATCTTGTCGGCTTTTTTTATCGCCACCGACTTATCGCATGGTTGGAAAGGGAAAAGTGCATAACACTTTGGGAGATGTACTTCACCATAAACCGCTCTCTTATGGATTTTTGAGAGTATCTATTAACATTGCTTTAGAGGGGGATGCACTATTACCTATACCAGACGATATTTCAGATGCGATATTGGTCGGAGACGCAATAAGATCGTATGTTACATGGTCGTCAAACCTCATTTACATATATGATGAGGAATGTTGAAAATCATTATGAACCTTTGAGTATTCAAATGTTTTACGATTCATTTTAGTTATTCTTACATTTATGTATATTTTATTTATACATGGTAATGTTAGACTCCTACAAAATCCAAATAAAAAGACAAGGGGATTACAAGGCACAACGAGTCAGTTGCATCAAAAAAAGAGGTATATATATATATATATATATATATATATATATATATATATATATATATATATATATATATATATATATATATATATATATATATATATATATATATATATATATATATATATATATGCATAGAAAATGTTAATTATATCCTCCAAAATCAAAAGCATCGTGATATTATACACTTCCTAACTAATTATATGATATTTAGACTCATGCTCAAGAGTTGCAACAAGTTAGCAGGAATAAGAAGCCTATTGGTAGCAACATGTCCAAAAGAAAAAAGGATCTTGCAAAGACCGAGCCTACAAAAACATCTATGTTTGGATTTAGGATGTGCCTTCAAACATTTATAAGAACAACAAATGTGATTGATGGTGTTGCTCGTGATATATCTATGGAGGAAGATATTTTTGGTTTTGATTATTCCGAAACAATTGCTAAAGAGGAGGTGATCAGATTTTTGATCATGATCAATTAGGCATGGGTGTTATCAACACATACATCAGGTACTCCGATCAATTTTACTTAATTAATTGAAAAATTTATTTAGTCATTCCAATGAATAGTCTAATGTTAATTATGTTTTTATTTAAGGTTCTTGTATGAAAAACTGACACGCCCGCGTCAATTGGCAAAAAGATTTTCTTTTTATCACCCCACCGTATCAACGTATGGGAAATCAAACATAATCCAGATACAGTCAAAGAGATCTCAGTCGATACATTTATGGCCAACAAAGATACAAAAAAGTTGTTTCTTTTACCGTATAATACTGGTCATCAGTTAGATTTTCATTCTAACTTTATTTATTATAATTTTTTTTCTCCGTTTTTTGATGTTGTGTAGAAAATTTAAATAACACTTTGTTTTATTTTACAGTGGACACTGATTGTTGGTTGCGATTAATCCTTTGAGAGAAATTGTATATTATTTGGATTCATTAGATGGTGATCAAACAAAATACTCATACATGAAAGAGATGGTTGATACGTAGGTGAGATTGTTCTAAATATTCGTGTGTATACTTATTTATTTATTTATGTGAGATTGTTCTAAATATTCATTTATATTTTGTTAGAGCGATGAAAATATTTGGATCATAAAGGCAAACTCAAGTACCAAAGAGTAAAGCAAACAACATAACATGGATCATAGTGCAGATATATTTTCACATTTTTTATTATAATAGTGATGCTACTTGATAAAACTAATTAAACTATATAGCCTAATATATATTCATATTTTTTCTATGTGTAGTATCATCGTCAGCGTAATGGTGTAGATTGCGGTTATTTCTTACTGAGATTTATGAAAGAAATTATTATTTTTGGATCAAATAGAGATTCCTATCATGATATAGATTTATAAGTTAGTATTTATTTTAATATTTAACATATTTTCATCTAATTAATTAGTGGTAATTAAATCATGTTATGTTATATTATGTAGTACTTTGATAAATTCAAGTGTGCTACTTATTCGAAAGGTCAACTGGATGAAATTAAGAACGAGTGGTGTAAATACATTCTTGAGTTAAGAATTTTATAAGGTATTGTCTTTCTTTCATTTGTGTGAAATTTATAAAATGGTATATAACATTTACAAATTTTGATACAAATATGATTTTTTTGGTGTATGAGGTTGTTCTAAAAAGTATATATATAATGTTGTGTAGATTATTCTAAAAAGTATGTATATAATGCTGGCATTTTATTTAAAAAATCGTAGCCATTTTTAAAAAATATTCTGTCAATTTATTAATAAATTTGTGCACAAGACATCCCTTTTAACAGAAAGCGCTGCCAAAAGTGTACAGAAAACGCTGCCTAAAGGGGGATTTTAGGCAGCACTTTTAAAAAAAAAGAGCGTTGCCTAAAGTTCCCCTAAAATAGAACTATAAAAGCGTTGCCTAAAGGGGGACTTTAGGCAACGCTTTTGAAGAAAAAAACCCTGCCAAGGGGGCCAATAGAGAGTGCTTTTGGAATGAAGCGCTGCCTAAAGTCCCCCTAAAATAGAACTATAAAAGCACTGCCTAAAGAGGGACTTTAGGTAGCGTTTTTCAAGTAAAAACGCAACCTAAAGGAGCCAATAGAGAGCGCTTTTGGAATGAAGCGCTGCCTAAAAGGGACATATAGTTGCGCTTTTACATTAAAAAAAAGCGCTAGCTAAACATTAGACAGTGGTAGTATAGGCAGCTCTTTAGAGCGCCGCCTAATAAAAGAAAAGCGCTGCCTAAGGTCATCTTTGGCATATTGTATGATTCCTTTATTTTCTATTAATGAGATTTTCCATGTCTGTCGTAAGACGTGTTTGGATACATATGAGAACACACGATTCATTATAGGGAACTTCCATACTTATAATACCGATATAAGATTGTTAGGGATGTCCTGTTTGATATATTTCGACGTGTCGAAGTATCTGTGAAGAAAGAGACTCATGTAAATTTTTAACTAACCCACATGAAAAGAGATCGACACTTAGGCCAACGAATGTTCTGGTGTACGAGTAGGTAGGAGGGAAATATACTTGTGTGGACTTGACTGAAGTTTCTTCAAAGGTGGGACTGAGGGCTGGTGGTTTTATTGTGGGACAAACAACTCTCAAACTGCTTTTAGTAAAGTGATCATACATGAGAAAACGTGTTCTGACAATCAACATGTTTTAATACCATTTGCCTTTGACAATTTTGGTTTCCTAACATAAGAAGTATTTGAGCTTTTAAAGAGAGTTCAAAAGTTTATGAATAACAATGTTATATCTCTTAAATTTATGAATATAGTTTTTAAGAGAATTAATTTTCTTAAAATATTTATTGCCTAAATAAAATTTGAATGATAATTTAGAATAAATCATACAAATTCAAAATTAAATATACATATTGTTTTTTATTCAACGATTGTATGAACTACAAGAATGATCCTATGATATGCTCTACTTAACAAACACATTCTCACGCTAATAGTGATTTATTGACAAGTGACTTTACCATGGTCTAAAAAGGAATTTTTCTCTTTATTCTCATGAAAGATTAACAAAGTGATGTCTAATTAGTTAAAGAAAAAAAATGAATTTCGAATGGTTCACAAGTCTATTTACGTGCCCTCCTTAATTGGCGTGTTAAAAGGACAAACACAAAAGCAACTTGATAATGATTATAATTTTATGAAGAGGTCTTAGAACTTCATAAGTGTTACAGACGATTTAATTATTTCTAGAAGCGCATAAACTTTATGCATTATAAAGATATCAAACTATATTCTATTTTTCACATACAAAAATAAAATAATATGGCTACAATTCTCAAGTTTGTTTACGCTATGATTCTAATCTTTCCATTATTTTTCGTCGCACTTGAAGCTGGTGGTAAAGGAAATTATAGGAGGATGATGCTTTCGAGTAATCTCAAAGATGAGAGTAACAAACAAGAGAATAATAGAGAACAAGAACATCCAATGGACCATGAATTTGAGGGAGGGAGGGATGGTCATAAAATAGAATACTCAAAATGTTTCCGATGTGGAGATATCGGGCATTATGCGTTCTTTTGCACTTCAACCGAAAAGTTGTGTTTCAAGTGTAAGAATCCAGGACATTTTGCCAAAGAATGTGAACAAGTGAAAGAGGAACCTTTAGCGAATATTGTTAAAGGATAAAATTATCTTTCATGAGATTTAGATCCTCTCGATCGATATTTTTCTCAATCTTCTTCGATCTTAAATCTCACAAGGTTTTTGAAATCTTACATGTAGTTTTTGAAGATTGCATGTCACTTTGAATGGTTAATTTTGTTTAGAAAATCATAAAGTTTCAATGTTCTTTGTTTTTAGATATGAGTTGAGGCTTTAATTTGAATATTTGTGTTCATTAAATTTGTTATTTATGAGATAGTGAGATTACCACATTCCTATGAGGGTTGGAAAAACAAATAGGAAGAATATTCGTATTTGTTTACGAGACCTATACTTGAATAAGTTTTTGTTCATGAGATTTGAATTTATGCATTAAGTTATAAGTTATAAGAAAAATGACTAATTTTGGAGACTTAGAAGTTTCAATTCAATCTTCTTCTTTTAACGCAGTTGTTTTATACTACGTTTTCGTTATTTTGAATTTTATTTAATCCAGTTCTAAAATATATGGGTAATTATTGTACAATTTTTGTAGGAAGAAATGATGGTAAATATGTACATTTTAGAATTAAGGATGTAAATCATAACACTTTAGGTGTATTCATATTTTTAGGATGATTCTTTTTGGATTAAAAGTAGCTATATTTATAATTAAGGGGGAGAACCCCTCAGCGAGGGACAAATTCCTCTGCTGAAGGCGCTTATGTGGCCAGGGCGTTTGGAAAAGTATAGAGAAGTATAGAGAAACATGTTTATTTTGAGGTGATGTTCCGAGACATTTAAACGTGAATCACTCTGGCCAAATTTAGTGTTTTAGGGGAAGAGGCAAGGATAGCATTTAAAACACTTTATGATGACGATTTTTGGAAAAATATATATATTTTATGGTCTATACACGTGAATTTCAGGCATGGAGACTTCCTGCTTCTAGTGGCAGTCTTTTTTATTGGATGAGCGTGTGAACTCATCTCTTTGGGCTTCCTATATATTTTTGAGAAGAATCCTTTCATTTCTTTTTCTCTCTCTTTTTTGATAGAAGCATTCATGAGTAAGATTTTGTTCCCTAGAAACCCTTTGGCCTTATTTGTTATGGCGAAGAAAACTAAACCTATCCACATTTAGGACATTGTTTCCTTGTATTCTACTCATGACATGATCGGTAAATTTTGTTATGGCATTAGCTTCTCTAGCACAAGACGAGAGAGGGACATGATCATGGAACCTTGCTCGAGGGATGAAAGGCCAAACATGGATACCTCTGGTGATCCATATGCTCTTTACTTCTACCTTCATCTTTATGTTATCTATGAGTTGTGGGTCTCGCTCCCATTATCTTCTTTTGAAATAAAATTCTTAACTACCATTAATGTGTCCCCTCCCCAAGTTACTCCAAGTGTTTGGGGTATACTCAGGGCTTTTCAAATAATCTGTTGTAATTTGGGGGGTACCCCTTTTGTCAGGGCGCTTCTTTATTTTTATAGGACGAAGTTTCTTCCCAATATTGGTTGGGTAAAGTTGCACCCTTTTCCTAGGGCGTGTTTCATGAAACCCTTCTCCAGTCCTTATGAAGATTGGAATGATTTCAAATAAAAGGGTATAATAATGTTTCTCTTGTTATCGTGGGAGCGGGAGGCGAGCCTCTTTTTTCCCTACCTTGGACTCCTGATCCCAAGTTCACAACGAGGGTGGATTCACGTGTCCTTTCTCTTCTTGACCAGGAAGTAGTCCACGTCTTGAAGTGCTTTTTCCCCTTGGCGTCTAATATTCTTATCAATCGAGACCGTGAAGACGACAACAATGTAGAGAAGTACTTAGGTACAAGTAAACACTTTCTTATTCCTTTTTATTGTGTTAGCGTATTGTAATGGTTTGTCTTATGCAAGCGAGATGATGGTGGTTCCTCTCGATGAGTAAAAAGAGCGTATGGTGAAGATGCAGACAGCTTAGCAGCGATAAATGCTTTCTTTTGCCCAAGAAAAAAATAGATGTCCAGGGAATGGTGCAAGGTGAAATTTCACGGGTGGCCGAGATTCGACCTCCTAAGATTCCTGACAGGGAAGAGAGTTCTTATGGGCTGTCAAGCAACCAAGAAGCGGGGCCTGAATCGGAGTGGTGAGTGGGTGTTCCTCCTTCTTCTGAACCTTTTTTGTGGCATAACTAAGCCTTTAGCATAGTGGATTTTTCCGATCATTTTTTCTGCTTCCCAGAGAACATCCTGGGTAATTATCAACTGCTTTATGTTATGTCCCCCACCCAACAATCTACTTTGTTAGATGTACGATTTATGAGGTGTTTCCTGGTGTGGAAAGTACTAAGAGAAAAGCGTTTTAATACTTCAGGGAGGCTACAGTCAGAGGAATTCAACCTTAAAAAACACACCCATGAAGGTGGGATGGCATTAAAGCAGATGAATGCAAGGAGGGATGATTTGAAAATGCTTGTTGAGGGAGTGGTTGTTTGTAGTATTTTTGACAAAAGTATTTATATTATTGTTTTCCTCAGGGATTGGTGTGATATTAATGTCGTTCTATAGTTTAAGTGTCTATAAGCTTTTGAATCATAAACAACGTTTTAATGCTTGCTTTTAGTAACCAAATATCAAGTTTCATGCACTAGATATTTCTTTGGATAATAGAGAGGTTGTTGTTTGAAATTGTTTGTTTTGATAAAAAAAAAGAGTGTCAAGATTAGTTTTCATCAACCTATTCCATAGTTATTCGATTATCTTTGCATATGAACTAATCAATGATCAATACATTCACGTATCCTCTCAATATTTCTCATGTCTAAGCAATAGTGTGAGTGTTATCATGTTAATCTTTAAATGATCTCTCAACCTAACTATTAACATGATAATCTTTAATGCTTGATACAAGTGAATACTAGCTCACAAATCTATGTCTAGAGTTTGTTCATTAGTAGATGAATATCTTACGTCAAGCTTGGAACTTACTTCTCAATAATGGATCAAACCTTAAAAATAACAATGATACAAAGATATTCAACATGTATTAATCTTCAACCAAGTTCATATACAAAATGATTAAAAGAAATACATTAATTCTAGGTTGACTACTTCTAACCTTGACACAAAAAGTGTTTAGCTACTCATTGTCATGATACCTTGCTCAATGAGTAGACAATGGATGTTGATGAACATAAATCTTCAAGTCTCCTTGAAGAGCAATGCAAGAGTTCTTGTTTTTCCTCTTCCTTTGAGATAAGAATAAAAACCTACTTTTTTTTGTTGTAATGTTAATATCCAAAAAACAAAAGGTCTCCCTATTTAAAATCATATTTCTTTCCCTCTAAAATGCAAAAGTTGATGGAAAGTTCCCACAAAAGGTGGCAAAAAGTAGCCAAAAGTATGGTCTAACTGCGCTCCATCGTCGGGCGACCATAAAGTTTTGTCGGGCGATTTTGGCTAGATGCCACACGTGACCAGCTAGGCGTGTTAAAACCCCAGAAGAGTATCTTTAATCGCCCAGCGACAAGAATGCTTCGCCGAACAATTCTCCTTTCGCCAGGCGCCCTAGAAGCGAAACAATACAGAATTGAAGCTTATTTCTCTTCATCAATTTCGTCAGGCGACGCCTACTTTCACCGGGAAATTCTTTGCACCAACTCACTCTTCTTTCTTAAGCTTGGTTAGCCTAAATTCTCCACTTTTTTTGCATCTTTCCTGCAAAAGTTTAGCTGAAACACTAACAAACACATTAAACCTTCAAAACTATCTAGATAATACGCAAAATGACTAAAATAATTATTTAACCTAATCAAAAATAAAATAAAAGATCTCAAAGTGTCAATAATTGATATGTATTTTATGCACAAATTGACACTTAACAGTGGCCACTTAGACCTTTGTTCGGTGTGAAGAGGTGGAGGGCTTGAAGAAATAACTCTAGAAAGCTCGAGGGGTCCTTGAAAGCACAAAGGAATGGGTCTCACATCTTAAATATTACACTGTGGTGGCCTCCGTTCATCACTTTATGGAAGGGAGAAAGCGAATTTCCATTCTTTATCTGCACCTGAATTTGACCCCCATGGATCCTTTTAAGGTGGTTCTGGATGCGGAACTGGTTGACGAAGAGTGATTCCTTATTTTATATTAATTATCTTTACCTTTAAGTGATATATTATTTTGCTTTAGTTTTAAGACATTTGTTGTTGGTTGCCTCTAGAGCGGCAGGGGTCTTCTTTTTGGGGGATCCTTTATTTTTTACCGCATCCATGAGTGGCAAGGATCCCCTCTTGGGAATCCAACATGGTTAATCTACTCTATGGACGACAAGGATCTTATCTTGGGGATCCAACGCATGTAATCACCTCCATGGGCGGCAAGAATCCCATCTCGGGGATCCAACATATTCAATAGCTTTTATGGGAGGCAAAGATCCCATCTTGGGGATCCAACGTATGTAATCACCTCCATGGGCGACAAGGATCCCATCCTGGCGATCCAACATAGTTAATCTCCTCTATTGGCGGCAAGGATCCCATCTTGGAGGTCCAACATATGTAATCTCCTCCATGGGTGACAAGGGTCTTATATTGAGGATCCAATATGGTTAATTGCCTCCATGGACAGCAAAGATCCCATTTGGGGATCCAACGTATTTAATAGCCTCTATGGGTGGCAAAGATACCATCTTAGGGATCCAACACATATAATCTCCTCAGCAGGAGGCCTTCTTATGAGTCGAGATTTCATACAAAGATATGGAATAAACAACTCATAAATAAGATTGAGATGCCTCATTAAAAACATCGACTCAATGGAAATGGTAGAGGGAAAAGAGTACACCTCGACAAACAACTTGTCCTTACAATTGTCAGAGTTTTAATATCCGCCTATTAAAAATTTCCAACTTAGGTAAACAAATAACAAAAACAAAAAGACTACAAAAAGAATCTAGAAGAAGGAGGCATCCCCCCTGATTTCAAACTTTCTCATCCTGTGAGGTTGGATAAGAAACTTCCTCGCCCTTACCCGCCTCTTTGGTCGGTGTTATCCTAGAGTT